GGCTTACATTTGCAGATGTAACTTAAATATAAACACATGCAATTGGTACACAAATGTATGCATCCACACACAGATGGGTGAACTGTATGTACGCCTGCGAATGCCTCCAGCTTCACACACTTTGTTTTTGTATAAAATACAAAAATATAGGAGCAATTGGTGGACTTGATAAAAACAACTGCATGCCTCTAGATACACACACACACACACACACACACACACACACACACACACACACACACACACACACACACACACAGAAATGCTCTCAACCTTTTTGGTGCTGATAAGGCTCACCTAAATATTTGTCTTGAGTCGAGCGTTGAGAGAGCCAGCTGAGTTCTGTGCTGTTCAGACAGTCCTACTATTATTCCTATTATTGTTATTATTATTACTCCCAGCTTCTTTGAGTTTGGATCCAGCATACAGAGCTGGCTATGACCTTGTGGTTGTGGGTGGTCCCCAGCACCGTTAACTCATTAATCAACCAAACTCAACCCAACACATTCAGCGGTCAGTACAACATGAAAAACAAACGAAATGCTGTTGACACCTTGAGTTCAGGATATTTCACCTAAATCATTATTCAGTCTCACAATGAGTCGTGGAGACGGTGAGTCATAGATCGTTGGCTCTTATCAGAAGATTATTAACACATTTTAATGCTACCTAAATTTTACAGTAATATTTATGTAAGAATCTAAATAAACCAACCTCGTAAACATCCTGTTCTAAATGGAAACCCAATTCAATTTCAAGAACCATAAAGTTGTGTTTCGTTTAAGATGATGGGGTGTGTATTGTTCTGCCAACCCCGTTCCGGATCAATAGAGTCTAAAGGCATTACAAAGAAACCCTAAGAAACTTCCCAGATAGAAACGCTTCATCTTTTCCCACCTTTGTTAGCATTAAATTGATGAACACATGGGATTCAATTGACCTAACTGGAGACAAAGGTTCACTGTGTACAGTCTTGAAATAAGCAAATGAATGAAGGACTAACTGTGATGCCTTACCTCTAATGATGTGAAATTATTTTGAAGTGCTCGAAGCATTCAAATGGATCAAAAATGTTGTTGGAAAACAAGATTCAACAGAATTTAGCAGTTTTTTGACATTTGATTTGATATTTGATTATTTTATATAGTAATATAAAAACACCTCCATGAAGAAGCTGGCGAACCCAATGAACTAATATGTGGACGGACTCTACTAAGGGCTACACATTAACCACACAAAAGCCTCATGCAGCCTATGGATTTGCATAGTTTGCTTCTTTATTTTTTTTTACTGAAGTTTTCAATTGGCTACTTGTCCACATCACATAATGACACGTGTATAAATCTAATCTACTCAAAATGACTAAAACAATTGTATCAATTCTTATATCAAACTATCAATTACTGTACATTGGTATTTAGTCTGTATCTGTCTCGCTGACTGTCTAAAGAAAACTTGATTTACATACTCCTTTTAACTATGAATGTATTCCTATAGACAATGCATCCACAACTCAAACTCTATTACTTGTGGAAAATGTTCATAAAATAACCCACATGGCCATTTTAGTGATGGGATGTTGGTCCAATGTAGACAGCACCGTGTCACAGGTACGAAGTGGAAATGCTTAAGTCAACAAATCTCCATTTAGCTGTTCTCTGTGGCTGATTAATATGACACCAAAGTGATTACACATGTTATGGAGTGGCTACATGTCCTGTTGTATCTGGTTTCTCTTTCCTTGGAAAACGCCTCTGATGCACGGCAAATTAACCCACTGCAAACAATGAGCAACAAAGATGGAGATTCAATAAAAACAACTTTCCCCTTCAAAAATGTATGTAATGTGAAATGACTGGATGCAGGTAAACAGTAACAGAAAGTGTCCTTGTTCCTCAGCTGGAGTCGCTCTTAGCCGAGACGCACCAGTTCGTGTTGAGCAGTGGCCCACTCTCCATATGGCTTCAATGGAATTTATGTTGGACAGGCACCAATAAGCCAAATCTAGTTAGCAACATTATATCATTGGAGCCAAATCGAATTTCAGCCAGAGTGTGCTTTAGTCGTCAGTGTCTTTCTCCCTCCCTCTGTCCCTCCGTCCCTCCGTCCACTGCTCTATGTGATTGTCACCTGCCCTCCGAGCTGGCGACGCCGGGTCTCGGCCTTAGCGTGAGAGCCCCATTACCCTGACTGGAGGCTTTGTTTTCCCTGTGAATCTGCGAGAGTGTGTCTGTGAGTGTGTGTGTGTGTGTGGAAGAGAATGTCCGAGAGACGGTGATTTGTTACATCAGTGAGCATTCCAGCTCCGAGATCCTCTGAGCAGAAAGCTGGGAAAAATGTCTTGTCTGTTGCTGGGTTTCCATGCAAATCTTTTATTGCAAATTATCATAATGCAAACGAAAATGCTAGAAGAACTAAACTGTAATAAATAGAAGTGGAATTTCACAAACAATGACAGAGTCAGTTTAAACTGATTGTATATAAAAGTGGAAATTCACTCACTAGTCGCTGGGAAACATATGACAGGGAAATGAATGAGGAAATGTGTGTATGGGATAGTTAAGAGTGTGTGTCCATATGTGTGTTTGCAACCAGGTTCAAGGTTAGCAGCTCTTTTGTGCTGTGTGACGAGGCGCCGAGGCCACAGCTCCGAGCAAATGGAGACACTGAGCTACCAGATACCATCTGCCTTCCCCCATCTAAGCCCCACACCAAGACACACACACACTAACAGATTCAGAGAGGCTTTAAACACACACCATGGACAACTCAATTTACGGGGGAAACATTTTAAAGGGTACATGCAGTGACTGAGAATAATTCACTGAATGTCACAACTGCGTCTCTCACTGTAACCGGGGAGGAGCGTGGCATGAGTGGGTCCTGTGTGGGGGGAAGGCCTTGGTCCGGATGTGGCTTTGTTCCCATACGAAGTCACAGGATGTGTTTGTAGTCTCGTGTAGGAAATGCAGCAATGAATTTAGTGGAAATGAATGAAATGGGTTGAGCTCACATTAGCGGTCTTCATTTGGGTGATCAGATTGTCCCTTAAACCCGAGATCGGCGGTTCAATCCCGAGGTTCTCACTTTACATGTCGTAGTGTCCTTGACATGGCGTGACAACATAGAGAAATGTTTCTTTGAATGATGATTTTTTGTATCTGTTTCCTTTTTTACTGATTTTGCATTTTATGAACACCTTTGTTTTCAAATATCATTTCAGGCCTGTTAAATATAAATCATCTGCGACCAGGGATGAGTGAAGTTACTGTACTGATAAACAGCACCATATCATTTTGCGCTTTAAACCACAGTGAACTATATTGTATGTACAAGACTTTGCGGTATTATTGTGTATTTTAGTTGAACAGAAAAATAATTGGATTTAAACAGTGGTGTGTTTGAAAAGGATGTTTGCTTTACTACTTTTTGACAACATTTGACAACATTTTTATTTAGTAAATGGAAGCTCTTTAAGTCTGGTCTAATGTACATCCAATAATGTGTGCCTAGGTTGATACAATTTATGGTAAGAGAGAGAAATTATAGTATCATTGTGTAGCTTCAGTTTAGGCATTTCAAGATGTTTGGAGAGCAAAAAATGAATATCAACCTCTTATAACGGCTGTATGTGTTAGTGGGCAGACGCAGTAATGATCTGTCAAGTAATGATGTAAGTGAGTCAGTAGAAATATTCAAATCCAACAGTACAGAGATGGAAAAGTTCTGAAAATGAACGCTAGTAATTAACAACAATACAATGTTTAATGAAATGGTCTAATAAAAAGCAAATATCCCTCTCTTTCAATCTCTTTATTCACTGCCTGTCCTTTTCTTTGTGGCTCCTGCTGAAACGGACAACAGAGACCAAACCAGGTCCTTTCAATTCCAGCTCCTGACCATCTCTGGCCTTTCCTCCTAGAGCAAACACAAGGAAATTTTCCTATGTTACAGTGCAGTGCTGTGGTATTAGATTAGCCCAACGAGACCAAGGCCTCTCTGCCTGCGTGGAGGAACCAACAAGTCCATCACATTCCCTGTGGATGGTGTCCTCAGCGCAGCTCAAGGCGCAGGAGACGTGTGTTTGTCTGTGTGTAGCACACAAGCTGTATTTTGATGTAATGTGATCAGTAATGAATTTTGTGGAGGTCAAGATGCGACTGGGAGTGGGGTGGGGGTGGGGGGGGGAGGAACAAGAGACGACTGAATACTGGTGTCTGTGAGTCTCTTAAATGTAATGTAATGAAGAAACACGGGGGGCGGGGAGAGGGGGGTTGTCAAAGGAAGGGAGAGAGAGAGCGGCTACAAATGAGGTTAAGTCCTAAGCTTGTGGCGGGAGAGGGGGGGGGGGGTGCAGGACTGGATATGGCTGCGGATGGTTGGGGGGGGGGGCGATAGTCGATGCTAAATCCATTAGGGCCTTGTGACCCCCCCCCCCTCCACCACCCCCCACATGCACTCCTCTACCCCAACCTCTCCCCACCACACCCTACCCCTCTGGCTGCCTCAAACACGCCACGCCGCCCGTAACCACCCCCCCTCCTTCTCCTCCCCCCCCCCACACACACATACTCACTTAAGAAGTGGGGAAAGAGAAAGAGAACGTACGGCCACTTCCTAAACGAGTTAACCATTTGGACTGTGAGGGCCAACGGCATGTCTGCTGTGCACACATACACACATGCAGACATGAAGCGAGGCATGTTCAGATATGCCAAAACATGGCAAAGCACACACACACACAGAACCAGAACTTCATACAAATGGTGAGCTAATCCATCACTGGACCTTGACCTGGCAGCAGGGAAGTGGGGTTGTTTGTACTCCCCCTCGCTCGGTTCCCCCTTTTGTCGAGTCTTTTGGCTTTTCGGCCAGCAACGAAGCAGCTTCAGTTCCCGGTTGGAAAGGGCTGACCACAACATGTAGCGGCTGTGGCTGGGACCATGTTCATGTGAAGTGTTTGTACATGTGCATGCATGTTTGTAATTGTCTCAGCTGACCTGTAGCGGATCCTACTATATCCCTGGAGGGGGACTCGGACATGGCATCTGCCAGTCTCTCTCGGAGGCCTTCGTCACTGGCGTCTGCTGAGCCAACGTTGTGTATGCCGAAGCTCTCTGGCCAGCTACCACATACTTCCAGCAAGGTCACACCACGTCCGTCGAAAGGACCTGCATGAGAAACACAAACACAGGTTTAAGGCTCTTTTGGTTATATGTAAATTAAAGGATATTCACATTTGTACCAACCCTCCAATAATGAACTGATTTATATAATCAGGACCAATTCAGACATTTGAAACTGAGTGAAATATATGTAGCTGAATCCATTTCTGCTTCTGTAATTGCCAACTTTATTGCAGGGAAGCTTTCATTCCAATGATGTTATGAATTTAGCAATTGCAGTAAGAGCAAACTCAAAACTAACAGAGGAACGTTGTCCATTTACTTTGTAAGTTTAAATACTGTACTTAAGTTAGAGGTAATCCTATTTTGCTTTAGAATATCAATTTTATTAAATTAATTTAACTGAATTCAAGGATACTTTGGTGACAAATATTGTACTATTACTAGTTTGTCCAGTTTCAGTTAAGTACTTTTTTTTAAAAACTGCATATGCCCAAAACTGAAATTAGGGCTCTAATATGAATCCAGAAACAACCTTTCAGTAAGTACTGTATATGCATTTAAAATCTAAATTCTTACAATAAGTATCTTTGCCTTGCTAAAAAGTGTGTGGTGACAGTTCTCAGAAGTAGAGTCGGTTGGCCCCTTATCAGAAGATCTGCAGTTCAATCCCTTGCTGCTCTAGTCTTCATGTTCCAGTGTCCCTGGCAAAAAAATACTCAAACCCAAATTGGTGTATGAATGAGCATTAGTTGAGATCCTAATGCTCACCTGGCATGGAAGCCTCTGCCATTAGTGTTTTATTGTTGAGTTTCGTCTTAATGATTCGAAAGGCATATATCAATTTGTATATTCCCAATTTGCCAAATTACTTAATAATGCAAATCATTTTATTTTAACATTAGATTCAGCCAAACATCTGAACCAAAATGGAACTTTGTGAAACAGCTCCTCTGGGGTTCAGCGGGTTAGCTGGTTCAGAGTGACAAACAAACGCACAAACCCACATGACAAACATGGTCAACAAAATCTTCATGCATGTCAAACCAAATCCACACAGACCTATGCTGCTCCTTAATCTTTTCTCCTTTCTGTCTGCTGTGATTTCTGCAATCCCAGAGATCTTGTGCTTTGGAGCCAGAGAGTCTGCAACCTGTTCCCCCTCCCTCTCTCTCTCTCTCTCTCTCTCTTTCTTAGTGTGTGTGTGTGTGACACACATACAGCCTGTCAGGGAACACAAGAGGCTTGTGACAAGATCTGAGATGTATGCTCCCTCCACAAAGCAAAACTGTAGTAGGGAAATAGCTAGCGCATTGGATAGTACGCATTGGATAGTACGCATTGGATAGTACGCATTGGATAGGACGCATTGGATAGTACGCATTGGATAGTACGCATTGGATAGTACGCATTGGATAGTACGCATTGGATAGTCCCCTTTGGGGCCTCCCCAACTTTACATTCCCCGGCCCCCTCCAGGAGAGGGAAGAGGAAATAGTAAGGTTTTGGGTCTTCCCAATGGGACAGAACCCCCACATCAGCCCGGGCCCCCCCCCCCCCCCCCCAAATAAAAAAAATCTCTGGGGAGAAAAATATGAAAGAACGAAATCTAAGGGAAAGCTTTTCACAAACACTTGGGAAAGTGCCATTGTATCTCCATCTCCATTCCAGCTGAAATGAAAAACACATTCTCCACATCACTGCCACTGGCACCTTTGTTTGTGGACATTTCTGTGTCTGGGTTTGACCTGGAGTGGAGAAAGACACTTTACCAGTTTGCATTGAGTTTGTTGGGCCTTAGGAAGCCAGTGATATCCTACCCCAGTGGGTGGAGAGGGAGTGGCAGCATCGACTGGGGGGTGCTTCTTGCGCTCTGTGATGCTGCGGCTGAAGTACAGTTTTGTCTCAAAAGGTGTGCTTCCACATCCTGTCCGCTTCCTCTAAGGCAGTGGTCCCCAACCACCGGGCCGTGGACCGGTACCGGTCCGCACCGGAGAAAGCTTATATATATTTTTTTTCTGAAAAATGTTTTATTTTGAAAATTAACTGGATTTTCTCCTAATTATGTGCGCCTGTCCCTGTGACATATTCCCCACGCGTCACCAGCCGTTTTTCTTCATTTTTACAATTGTCCTCTTACCGTGACAGTTTCAAACACAGAGCGCGCGACTACTACACCCCCCCCGTCGGACCTTCTTGACCGGTCCGCAAAATATTGTCTGACATGAAAACGGTCCGTGAGGTAAAAAAGGTTGGGGAACACTGCTCTAAGGCGTTGTGGAGATGAGCCATAGAGGTTTAAAGGAAAGCTCCAAATCAGCCTTTTTAGGTGATAGATACCTAAGGTGTGTACCTTAGGTGCAAGTGGTGAGCGAAGAAAGAATAAACCTTATCTCAAGGGAAAGTATTATAAGCTGTTTCCTGTAGAAGAAAGTAGCCTTAGGGAGCAAGGTGAAAGCCAGGTTTTGTTCCAGTGGTCAGACTGCAGGAAAACTGGCTTATAGCAAGAAACTAGTGTTCTCAGTTATCATGGGTCGGAAAAAGTCTTAAGCACTGCCATAGCCATAGCTGACGGTGTTGAGTTGGCGACTCCTGAGGAAACACCTCTGGTCAAGAGGTGTTCTAGCTACCTCATTTAGGTCTCCTGGCTTTTTGGTGCTCTGTGATGGTGCTTGTGCGAAGTGCCTTTGAGGCGAAAATTCAAAACGTTAAAACATAAAACATTAAAAACACACATAAATACTGATCGCTGCGTGGACAAAAAAAACCCAACGAATTGCAGGGCTGTATCTACCTCCATTTATTCTAACTTGGGGTATTTAGAGCCTGGTAGAAAAGTGAAGGTTCGATGCTGGATGTCTTGTTGAAAGCTTGGTGTTGTCGAGAATTTGGGAGAAGAACTAATCATCAGTTCAATTCTGTATATCTTCTTGTTAACGACAAGAAAGGACAAAGAAGCTGTCACAAACCTGACCCCCTATCGACTGCTTCCTGCTAAAGTGGCATCTGGAGAATACAGTAAATCAGTTCCTTTTTTGGGATGAAATCTGTCCATGCTAACTTGCTAATTCCATTATGTGGTGTATGCCACAGATGATAAATGCTCTTGTAGCTCTTTGAACAGAAACAGGAATTAGTTTGGTAACATATGTGATTTAGTTCATTGTTGGGACAGCAACACTACTTTTATTCTATCACGTGATAATGCAGAATTTTCCACAAGTGGAAATGGAATGGGTGTGCATACGGACGAAGCTCCGTTCAGAATTGTAAACATGTGACCATGTAGAGACAGACATGACATGACAATGAAACACCCCACCCTATTATTTTACCAGATTGGGTGTAAAATAGTTACTCCTATTCTAACGTCCAACATCTGTTCAATAATGTCTACAGCTCCCAACCAACAACCCACAAAGCGTGGATATCGTCTGAAGCTGAAGAAGCTTTTGACTTAGAAAAGTGGTATTAGCTCATATATTGAAGAGAAAATGTTGCTCTAAGGGGGCTTTTATTTCATGGTTATATTCATTACCACAAGCTTTAATGATCACAGTCCCCTAATCACTGCAATTTCCATTGAACCCTTGTCAGTGTGACTGCAAGATAACCCCCATGTTTACTAGTACACAGATATGGTTTAAAACTAAAGGCCTCTTTCTATGCAGATTACCTGCTTTTTTCATTTTCAACTGTCGGATGTTTTTGGTCAGTTTTTCATGATCTAATCTGCTCCATATTTTTCATATGTCATGTCATCCTTACCCTGTAGACGTCCATATGATCATTTTTATGGTAAGTATATGATTAGATCCTCAGATCTTCTCAAATTAGGCCTGATCTAGGAGTTAATCTTGAATAGGAAGGATTCCATACAGTGTAAATTATATCAGCAGAGAACCAGGCAACCTAAAGTGAGAGCTAATGCTTAGTTTACATCATTAGACTGCCATGCAGATTTAAAATACTTGTTTGGATATGAGGCTTTTGAGTCATTCCTTATGGGCTGGTTCCGGGGGTAAACCCCATAATATGTTTCTCAACCTACCTAGTAGTGTACCCTTTACCATTTTATTAGATTTGAGAAAACTAGAGATTGAGAAAAACAGCTCAGTGACTGTGCCCAGGATCGCAGAGCACCGCAAAAGATTGTTGGGGGAGGATCTAAAAAAGGATTAATCAGAAGAACTGAACTGATGAAAAAGAGGTTAAAGAAACCCTAAATGTGTGCAAGGCACAGGCGCATAGTGTACAAGTGTAGACCTACCAAAAAGAATAGTAAAGCGTCCACAACCACACAAGAGGAAAAGTCCCGCTCTTTTCGGTGGAAAACCGTGAGACCTTTTAAAACAACTTGGTGGTCAATGATGATCCGATTTGCACTGTACCAGTAATTAGACAAATGTGGTTTGTCAATTCAAAAGATCATTTTGGTTTCCTCGGGTAAGACATCAGATAAGATGATGCTACATTATTGCCGTTAGTAGCATTGTGCAATACGAGGGATGTAGTCCACTGAGCGGTTTCACAAAATGAAATGTTACAGTGACAAATTTACCCTTCAAACATATGTGGAATTCAGTTCCCAATTCCAACGGGATAACAATTATGATTTGTCCCTAGTCATTGACTATTATACATATTTGTTCGGAAATAGGTAGGAGTTTGTCTCTCTGTGAGAGAGCAACACGTAATTCTCATACCAGCTCGGCGAGAGATACAGTATCTTATCAGATTGGAAAACATTTAGCTTTCAATTAATGTTTTATTCAATACACTTAGTGACATTTGGGGTCCTATTGTTAAAGAAGTCAAAGGAATGAAATTCCCAAATCAACTGTTTTTTAAAACTACAATTACAATTGTTTATTTATTGTGATCTGGATACAGGTTCTTAATATGTCTATAATACAAGTGGGTTTTCTTGTGTTTTGTTTTTTTATATATGCACAGAAAATCTAAAATAACCTGGAAAGGTCTCCAAGGAGTCAAAAGACCACACATTACACGAATGACCCTTTTGAACAAGTTATCAAGTGCTT